GGGGGCGCGTGTCAGGCGTGGTTGGACAACTTGTTGTCCAAGTACGGAGTGGTAGCAGCGGACTTGCACACCATGATCAGCTGGGATGATCTGAATGCGGCATGGCACAAGCGGTTCCAGGTGGAGCGGGCAGAGATCAAAGCCATGGACAAGCTCATGGTCTTCGAACAAAGCACGCTGCCGAGTACGGACTGGATCGCTGAGTACCAACACTTGACGTCAGTACCAGACATCCAGATGGGCTTCAAGGTCATCCGCCACTACTTCATCTCAAGGTAATGTCCGACATTGAGCAATGCCCTGACGCATGTCGAGGACACCATGACGACGACGACGGAATTATTTGACAAGGCTGCGCAGATCATCGTTACGAACAAGGAGGCCAAGAACCTCCGTTCATCTGCGTCAGGCCCGAGTGGGAACCAGCATCGACCACGAGTGGCCGTGGTCGCAGCGGCAGCGCTGTTAGACCAAACCAGCGAGGCTAGGTCTGCCAGTGAAGGAGACAGATTCGCAGTTGCCCGGGAAGGTGGCCGCGTCGGCAGAGGCCGAGGGCACAGCAAGCCGAAGACACACACCGTTTCTAGCCCCGGGCCCGGTGCAACAACTCAAATAGGCCCATGGACCCTGTATGGCATCTCCGAGTCCGCATACAAGGCGCGCGAGAGATTCCACTATTGCCTTTGGTGCAACAGCGATCTTCATCAGACGCAGGTTTGGCCATTGAAAGGCAACTGCAAACATGAAAACTGAGCACCGCCGAGAGTGACGCGACGACACTCTCGATGCCTTCGGAACTGGTTTCTTCGCGAGTTCCCAGCCTTCATTCCGAGGCGCACGCGGAAGTCGACTGTCCTCCGCTTCTATTTTCTTTTGAGGACTATGCTGCCCGACTCGTTCCAACGCTGGGTACTCAAGCTCAAGGACAAGGAGTGTGTGCGGTTTCTTTTCCGTCCGGCAACAGCGACATATTGTTTTCAAGTGGTTCGTCACGGGATTCGGCGCGCGAGTTCAATATAGAGGTTTTGAACCCGCTCACGTCTGAGGACTTTGCATGGCTTCCTCTCCCGACCACAAGCTGTTTGCCAGGACCGCAATGCGCAACACTTAGCACTCATCTCCACACTTACCTTTCCTTCTATGCACCACCAACTTCGCCGACGGATGACGAAGTCGCGGTGGGGGACATCTTGGCGTACGTTACCAAGGTGGCCCGCGAGTTTCGCACGCAGTGGTACGATAACAACAATGCACCGCTCATGTATGTCCGCATCCAGGTTGGGCAAGCGTCCTGCAGCGCTTTGCTAGATAGCGGCGTGACTCGCAACTTCATGAGTCAGTCTTTTATGCAAAGAGTTGGCCTTGGCGCACAGGTTCGGAGGAAGGCAAACCCGACGACGATCAAGTTGGCTGATGGAAAGACGCAGCAACTACTCGACCGTTACATCGAGGCCGTACCGGTCTACTTCGCACCTCATGCATGCGAACCGGT